GTATGGACATGCACATTTTAAAACTGAGAATGATGCCGGGATTTTTTACCAACGTGTTCAAGGGCAAGAATTTGCTTTTTCTGACGGAACAAAGATTTATTTTCTACCTTCCAAAATGACCGGGAGCAATGAATATACGGTATACAAAATTGAGGTAACATAATTTGTTTTTATATCAATAATTCAACCGATTTATAGTAAATTGACTTTGTTTATTGCATTACTAGGATGAAGCTTCAACTTCACATCAAAATAACTATGTTACCACTCTTATTACCCTTAATGTTGGTGGAATACTCTACACTACTACAAAAAGAACACTTTTAAAAAAAATCGAAATTCTTTTCGAAGCCTTTTAATGATTTTGATCATAATGGAAACATTTTATTGACCGAAATGGCGAGTTATTTAAATATGTTCTTGAATTTATGAGAACAGATGACTTGCCAAAAAGAACTCTGCGCGACAAGTTATTACTTGAAGAATTATTATTAGAAGCTAAATTTTATCATATCCAAGTACTGGCCGTTCAAATCAATAGGATTATTCATGATGTTGGATATCAAAGTTATTACTGATACACAACTTAGGTACACAACTTAAATCGAAAAAAAATTTATCTACCTTGCTACTAAATTTTTTCTTTAGCACTTTTATTTATCTAATCATATAATAAATACTTGTTATTCCATACATAAAGTCACATGCGAGTAAGCACATGTGATTAGCAAATTAACCAAGTAATCCGATACATTTGTAAAAATTTTTTTATACATATCTACCACATGGTACTTTGAAAATTATGTTATATTTTGTTGATTATACAATAACTCCCAATATAATACAAAGTTATTTAATAAAATACAATTTTTTTTTTTTTAAAAAAAAAAAAAATAAGAAAAGAAAAGATTCAATAATTTAAATCTAATTACAAAATTGCCAATTTAGTTTTAGGAGAAATTTGTTCCCGCAATGATCCCAAGTTTGTCGGTCATTTTACGTAATTTTGATTTCTTTCTTTGAGATTCTGGTTCAGCTGATGTACTTGGCTCTTCACTTGATGTAATCATTTGCTCAGGTTCTTCCATAATTTGTTCAATAATATCATCAGCTCCATGTCCTGATAAAGAGCCAGGCAATTCCGCACCGGTACCATTTCCAGCATCTTCTATGGCCGCGTTCATTCTTACATCTGCAGCTTGTTGAAGTTGTCTATCATGTTCAATTGATGGACTATCAGTTGGTTCCGATTGTGAAACTTTTTGTTGATTCTTATTCATTCCCAATAATCGTCTAATAAATCCTCCATAAGTTTTCATATCATCTTGTTTTGTTCTTTTAACCGGAAGCCATAACCATGGTAAAACTCCTACTAATGATGGAGTTACATAGTTCCTCATCCCTGTATTAAGTACACCATTATATAGTGTCATCGGAGGTTGAATATAATCTGTATATAAATCTGGTTCTGCACGATATAAATCATCTTCTAATACGTCTCTTTGAGAATGTACTAGTTTGTTGTTATTCTCATTAAGATTTGATGAGGTGTTAGCCGAACTTCCTACCGGAGCGTCAACTACCGCTACTTTTTTGCCTGAACCTTGTGAACTTGGTCTAGACCTAACATCAAATCTAACTTTAGACAATTTTTTTTGATCTTCACGTATACTTTCCAATGGTATAAATCTCGAACTTCTATCATATGCTCCATTCACATAATAAGAGTAAGCACCCGTAATAACTAAAAGGGGCATGATGATTACAGCTAAATGAAATGATTTTCTCAATGACATATATCCAATCATTAATAGTTGAAAAATATATACGCCAATCATAATTCTTCGGAAGATCTTTGGCCATGAAAGTCCAGAAGATTCATAAGGGTGGAAATATACTGAAAATAAATAAATATGAATTAACTTGATACTATAAACTAAATAAATTAATTCATTAACTTAATGTACGATTAAAACAAAATTAACGTACCATATAACAATAAATATTTAAAACAAATATAGCCAAAGAAAAAGTAAATTATGCCAAAAAAAAGGATAATTGGTGTAAGAGATGAATATACAAGAACAAGAATAAAAACAAGCACAATAGGTGCTAATTCTTGTCCATAATCCATAAGTGGTGGAGTGCTGCCTTCGGCAAAATCTCTGGGCGTATTTGCAAAAATGACACGTAATATGTAAGCCATAGCAATCTCTTTAATCATGACTAAACGAGTTGGGAAAAACGCAATTCCTTGAATAACAACATAATTGATAAAGATTGGGGATACCTATATAATCAGAGATTTGTTAATTTTTTTTTTTTTAAAAAAAAAAAGGTTGTAAAGATGTTTTTAAAAAAAAAATGATGTGAATTTACTCGAGATAAGCTTTTCGCCAAAATAAGTGGTACCCCAGGTATATTGTTAATAATGTCTTCAAGTGCATTAAATATAGTACCAGCAATGGTAAAAACAAGGAGAACATTAAACAATAAGAAAAAGAAATATCTAAATGAGATCGTAACAGTAAAAATAATTAATATGATCTTTAACGACAAACAATAGTTTAAAAAATCTTAAACATACTTTGAGAATGTTGAATATTCAATCATGCTGCGGGAATGAAATCCTTGAAGTCTAGAGAGAACTAAGAAGAATATAAATTAGATGTTACAAGACCTATTATTTCAATAATTAATATATGGAGTTAATAAAACTTACACTGCATAATCATTGGAAGTAACGCGTTAAATGAGATAACAGCAAGAGTAGGTATAGTAACCTGAATGAAACTTTTCAAGAAGTCATTTTTCTCTGCCAAATCCGCTAACCACGGAAAGACTTTTTTCAGTGAGCTTAAACTCAACAATGAAGCAAAGAACGAAATAGGTCCAGACCAGAAAAATACAAGCAAGACAATCACGAAATTGACGACAACGTCACGAACTAGCATCTCCCGTTTGCGAATATTCAAATTATACCAAAATCTATTATTTCAAAAGGGAATAATTTATATACTGTCAAAGAATAAAGAATAATAAAAAATCAATTGATTTTCAACTAACACATCACGAGGTTCAGGAGCAAGTTCGGTATTACATTGGAAGGGTTCTGGACGTATTAGTATTTGCGCAGCTAGTTGCTATATGAAAAATGAAAAAGAATATGTAAATTTAGGAATCCCGAGCTACTTGATATAACAAACGGAATTTTATTTACCGCACTAGTAAAATCCTTGAAAGTCACGAAGCCAATTGAGGTCGAAACATAGGAGCCAAGTCTACCTCGTTTCAATAGTTGGTCACAATGAATAAAAGATTTGGTATAATAATCGATTTTGTCAACTTTTTCCCCAAATATTCCAAGAAATCCCGTCCTTATTGTAGGCCTTTTTGCATTAACTTTCGCAAGAACTTCTGCGGTCTTACTATTTGCAGTGGAAGGATCCTCATCTAGAGCTTTTTCAAATGCTTGGACTGCTAGATCAGGATGATAATTTGGATCCATACAAGGATTTCCCAAATATTCTACGTAGGCCTCTTCCAACTTTCTTAATTGTGTTGCTCGTTGTTCAATCACGTGCCTAAGTTTTCGAACGTGTCGATATACTACAGCACTTTCGACTGGACCTAAATTTAAATTGCTGTAAAATTCTTTTAATGCACGATCTGTTTGCAAGCTCCTTGGAACAACTGTAACCATTACAGTCCTTGCAGCAACAGTATCCTTCCAGTGAAGATAATATCGGTGACGTACTGCTGAGAATTCTCTATAATTATAAAATGTGAAATAATATGTTGCGAGAGAAAACGCCCAAGTAAAGACCACATATGACACCAGAATTCCTTGTGATTCAATTGGACCATGATCATCTTCGGGGATATGAGGATCAGTTGGATTACCATCAAATAGGTTGTTATCATCGTCATTTCCAAAAAATGGGAAGTAATTGTAAATCTTCATTGGAGATAGTATAATTAACGCGAAAATTCCACAGAATGCAAAGAGTTTATAAGACATTTTAAAGAATGCCAAAAGCTAATCGAGATGTTAAGTAAAATAAATAAAAAAAATCAGTTAGAAATTATCGATTTGATATTGAATGAAATGATATGCAAACGTACCACGACCGCATCCAACCCCACAAGGTTTAACACATCTGATTCTGGGATTTTAATCAAAGGCCAAATCCATCCAAAGAAAGTATTTGGCAAAGTCTTTGGCTTGAGTCTTTAATAAAGTCGATTAATGAAATACCACGAATTTCCCGAATGTCATAATTCCTTTGATACATACCTGCTCAACCTACTTCGTGGAGCATACATAGCAGACCAACGAGTCCGAAGAAAACAGAAAAGCAAAAACCATATAGTACCAAAAGGCAGCACGAAAGCGAGTTGGAGAACCGTTTTACCTATTTACACAACTTAATGACTTTATCCATATCTAACATAACGTTAAAATCTTTGAAACTTACTCGGGGGATCATCTCTAGTATCGTTTGATTTCAACATTGAGGGCGTATCAAAAATGAGTTGCCCAGAATTGGTCATGTCTAGGTCCATTGTTGACATTAAACATTCTTCCATTTCCAAATCATAAAGTTTTACCGTTCGGCTGAATTAAAAGAAAATCAAAATAATTTGCATAAAATCAACGAGACACGTTAGAATTCTTGACTTTATTTCGAGAAATGCAATTTATGATAAAACTTTTTATTGTAAATGATTTGCAAGATCATCAAATCGATAATCAAGATCGTTAATGTTCCAAAGATTGGGGTCTATTTGATAGAAAACAAATTTATATTTATATAATTTTAATTTATTTATTTATTTCACCACAAATGATAATACATTTGCGAAATAATAAATATGGTCAAAAATATAACGCGAAGTTCGTTTAAATATGTCTCGTCAACCTCGTCGCTCTAATTTACAAAGTTATTTATATAATTAATTGCATTTACGGGGCAACATAAAAAATTATAAAAATAAAAAAAAAGATTTCATACTCAATAGAAATCACTTCGGGAACATCATAACCATGATTCTTATTTACATAATCCGTGATTTCATTGATACGCTAAAGGATAAAGGTCATTAATTATAATCCTTGAGCATTTTGAATTGTCATTTCCCTTACCCCTTCTGAAGCCTTTATCATAAGCAATTTTTCAGCGGATTCTTCAATTTGACCTTCCCACCCTGAATAATGATCAAATAATCATAAATGAGATATGCAAGTTATATCAGATGTAACTTCTAATCGCATTTATACTTGCAATAAGTGGAAGTAACTTTTGGTAAAATGTTGACAAAATTAACGAGCTTCTCTTGTAAAAGACCTTTGAAAGGAAATTAATTCTAGAATTAAAAATTTTTCAATTAAAATCATTCTTATTAAAATCGCGAACCTCGTGATAAATTTAGAGCAACTTCATTGCTGGGACATGCGACATATATAATACGTGCCTCCGTGGCAGGACTTTCCATGACTGATTTTAATGAAGGGACTTCACACGCTAAAGTTATTGAAAAAAGACAAGGTAATAAATGTGTGAGAAGAAGAATAAAAGTGAGTAAACGTAAGATACGAAGTTTTGAAGAACCGAAAGGGATCATTTTCAAAGAAACCAAAATTTTTCGATCTATCATAAATATAGAAATGATACGATACTCAACCAATCAATTTTGAAATTTGTTTTTTTGTTCAAATATATTTATTTATTTTATTTATTACATATTTATTATATTATAAATATTTCTTTTTCCTCTCAATTTTTTATTTTTATCAAATCGAATAATTTTGTGAATAAAACCTTTCTAAAAATGACAACTTTCTTCGGTCGTTCCCGTTCTTCAATAAACTCACTTTGTTATCCAATTTCTACACAATGTCGTTTATTTTCACAATCAATTTTAACTTCACGTCGACATTATGATATATTGGAAGTTTCTCCGGAAGCTGATCGTCAACTAATAAAAGCACAGTTTTATAAATTATCAAAACAATATCACCCAGATTTGAACCTAGGCGATGAAACAGCACATTCAAAATTTGTTCGAATAAATGAAGCATATTCAGTTTTAAGTAATGAGCAAAGTCGAAGAGAATACGATCGATCAATACATCGTCAACTTAATAATTCAAATTCTCGATCACGTATGAAACGTTCTAATGTATACTCTGGTTATAACAATGCACCTAGACATGGTAGATCAGGTTTTAATTTTCATAATCGACAAAAAGTGAATTTTAATTTTCAAGAACACTTTCAAAGACATTATGGGGAAGAACTAAGACGGCGAGCCAGATCTGAAGCTCATCAAGAAAAAGAAAAACATGTTAGGGAACTGAGTCATAAACAAAGTCATAGGACGATAAGAATAAGTTTATTAATATCTATGGTTATAATCCTTGGAACTGGTGGTCAAATTTTTGTTTAAGAATTTTAGATCAATTTGAAATAATTAAAAGAATAATAATAATATTAATTGTAATAATAAAATAATAACAGCAAAAAAAATTCACACAGTGTATATATATATATATATCAATATAAAATATTCGTGATTCCCTCAAACTTTTCCCATTTTACAAATCGGGAATTTGGTCAAAATCGTAACCTTCATATCCTTTGTAAGCATAATAAGCAATTCTAACATGATAGGCACCTATTCATTTTTAATGAGAATAAAAAAATTAATTCAAGCAAGAAAATTGAATTATTTCTTTACTAACTTACCAGGAATAAATAATAATGCTCCAAGAAAAAGAAAAGGTTTTCCTCTATCAAGCCATTCCTATAATTACTTGATTTATGAATAAAATGTTTTTCATGAACCATCGAATATTCTGATTTTAAAAATTTCCCACCTCAGTATCGATGATGCCAGCAGTAATAAGTGATCCAAATATAATCCCTAAAGAACCCAGAACAAATAATAGTATTGCTAAAATAATTGAATTCCATGGAACTTGATAAAATTCAACAAATATTTATGAGAAAACAAATCATCACATTAATAATACTAAACATATAAGCAATGACACGAACTTGGATGAACTGGCCTCCTAAACTGTGCATCAGAGAAGCCAACGTCTTCTAACTGTATGTATCTTCTTGAATTTTTAAGCCCTTTTAACCCTCGCATTTTTGCAATTGTCATAAAGAAATGTTTTGATTTTTTAATAAAATGTCCAAGAGTGCATATGGCAGAATCAGCTGTCCTGTTAACCTAACCATACTATTTCAGGGGGATTAAAATTGGTCAAATATGGGGTCATCGAGATCATTTCTAAAATAATCTAGGTCGATAATGATTTTCCCACGATTAGATGAATCATTATTACATCAGCCTTATCAGCCTTCAATCGTTGGAGCCTTCGAAATATAAAGCCTTCTTTTCCTATTGTTTTTGGAATTATGAAATATGTCCGATAACGATTTGATAATTTTATTTCAATCAATTGGCTTGTCAGAACAACGAGCCAAAGATACTGCAAAAAATAAGAAATTGGCACCAACTTTACAAACCACGATCGTGGAAGCTGGTGTTAATGAAACCGGTTGTGATAAATCTGTCGGTGCTTTACTTTATACTCTCGCCTCTACTATTACTAAAGATGCAAATTCACATTTGAGTTACATTGCACGCGCGATAATTGACAAAAGGTTAAAATCTGCGGATCAGATTGCTGGTAAGTTATTTCTCGATCTGTTTCCTCACGCACGATATCAAGCTTCGAATATTGAGAATCTAATTTTTTCTCTCAATGGTGAGGGTTTGAATAGCCGCTATAAAGTATGTCGAGAATGCGGGAGACGAATTAGTTGATACCGAATTTGACAATGCATGTGGAGTTGGTAATTTGAAAACTTTTTTATTCAGATGTTATCCGTGTAATTTCACTTTATTAATTATCTACATTTATTTATCCTTTTCTACTTAGGCATTGTGATCACACCAGAACAGATCACAAGTGCAATATCCACCTTTTTAGAGTCTAAAAAGGATCTGCTCGTAAAAGATCGGTACAAATTGCTTGGATCATTGTTGGCCCAGGCGAGACAGACTCCGGAGTTGAGATGGGTCAATGGTGCTGACGTCAAAGAGGAATTGGAAAAACAGGTTGTCGCATTGATTGGTCCTAAAGATGAGAGAGATATGCCCGTTAAGGGAAAGGCATGTATATGAGAATCAATCAAATCTAAGAATTTTATTTTATTAATTTTTTTTTTTTTTTTTTTTACATAGAAAAAGAATAAGGATACTAAAAACGATCAGAAAAAGGCGGAAATTAATGCTATGAAAGTTTCAGGTTTTGGTTCAAATAAATCTAATCAGAATAGTATTCCTAATATGTTTTTGGAAGGAGAATTAGCCAAATTACATAAGCCTGGAGGTAACAAACAAATAAAACCTGAATTAATGGAACAGCATTTAAAGGAAACTGGTGGCAAAGTTCTTACACGATTCCCCCCGGAGCCAAATGGTTTTTTGCACATTGGTCATGCAAAAGCAATCAATGTGAACTTTGGATACGCAAAAGCTCATAATGGATTATGTTATCTCAGGTTCGGGTTACGTCATTAGAAATCAAGCGATTTTATATTTAATTATAATTTATTCATTGTCTATTAATATATAATTTTCGAAATTCGAATAGATACGATGACACAAACCCAGAAGGTAAGATTTAATAATTCAGTTATAATTTCATCATTTATATATTTGGATTGATGAATTATTTCCTCCTTTTTTTTTAAAAAAAAAATTAAAAGCCGAAGAAGAACATTATTTTACCTCCATTAAGGAGGCTGTGGAATGGTTGGGATTTTCTCCATGGAAAATCTCCTATTCCTCAGATTATTTTGATAAACTTTATGAATTGGCGATTGAATTAATAAAACGTGACAAAGCTTACGCGTGTAGTTGTACACCTGAAGAGATGCATGAAATGCGTGGAGGTGATGATGGTGGTGAACGTAAAGAATGCGCACATCGTAATCGACCAATCGAAGAATCTTTGATTGAATTTAAAAGGATGAAAGAAGGTCGTTATAAGGAAGGTGAAGTTATTATTCGTATGAAGATGGATATGCAAAGTGGAAATCCTCAATTTTGGGATTTAGTCGCATACCGCGTTTTATATACCCCACATCATAGAACCGGTGATAAATGGTGTATTTACCCGACTTATGATTATACGCATTGTCTGTGCGATTCATTTGAAAATATCACACATTCACTTTGTACTCTCGAGTTTCGCATGTCACGTGAATCATATTACTGGCTTTGTGATGCTCTTGAAGTCTACAAGCCTGTTCAATTCGAATATAATAGGTTCGTTATGACTGTACTTGATAAATTTTTTTATATGATTTTAAAAAAAAAATAATAATACTTTAACGATCATTTCTTTTATAAAGGTTAAATATTAATAATACCATAATGTCGAAACGAAAAATCGCCAAACTTGTTAATGAAGGATATGTTAAAGGATGGGATGATCCAAGATTATATACTTTGCCAGCATTGCGTAGGCGTGGAGTTCCTCCTGAGGCAATTAATGGATTCGTTCAAGATCTTGGTGTTACTACATCGAATTCTACGATTCAAGTGACACGTTTTGATAAATATGTTCGTGATTATCTTGATTTTCACGTACCAAGGTTGATGGTAATTGTGGATCCAATCAAAGTAGTCATTGAAAATTTACCGGATGATTATTTAGAAGAATTAACAGTTCCTTTCAAACCAAAAGATCCTTCCATGGACGATGTAAGTGAAGAAGCGCATGATATTACTTTCTAGCTAAATATATGTAATGACTAATTGTTACTATCATTTTGTAGCATGTTGTTCCATTTAGTAAGATAGTTTATATTGATAAATCAGATTTTCGTGAACAACATTCTCCAGATTATTTCCGACTTGCTGTTGGTAAAACGGTAGGGTTACTATATGTAAAGCATTGTATTACGTGTACTGACGTCAAAAAAGATTCGGAAGGAAATATTGAATATTTAATTTGTCGTTATGAAAATGGACCAGATATTAAGAAATCTAAAACGTATATTCAATGGGTATCAGAATCAACAAAACATCAATCACCTATTCGTTTAAATGAGATTAGAATTTATAATAATTTCTTTATGTCAGAAAATCCTTCAGCACATCCGGAAGGTTTCCTAAAAGATATCAATCCCAATAGTTTAGAAATAGCTACAAATTCTTTAATTGAAATTGGATTACATCGGATCATTTCAAAAGTCTTTGAAAAATCAGAGAAAAAAGAGTTTGAAGCAGTTAGATTTCAAGCTATTCGCGTTGGATATTTTTGTATTGATAAAGATTCTTTTATCGATGAAAAAAATGAAACAAAGAATAAATTAATTCTTAATAAGATAGTTTCATTAAAAGAGGATCCTAAAAAGAATTAAATTAAATTAAATTAAATATATTTCTTTCAATTTAATCAATTTTCTTTTTTTTTTTTTGTGTTGTTTTGCTAATAAACAATTACAACTTGAAAACAAAGTGAACAGATGATATTCGGCTCATAAATATAATTGTTAAAAATTTTCAAATTCCACAATTCTCGATACAAATTGTTTTAAAACGAATCATTTAAAACCAAACTGCAATAAAAAATTTCAATTTTGTTTTTACCATATATTTTTTTGGGGGTGCTATCCCATCGCATTTCATTATTTCTTGAGTTCAAAAAATTTTTATACCCAATTGATTAATTATTAATGCCAAATATCCTGGGTACTTATTAGACCTTGAACAATACTAAAAATAAAAAAGTTAGCCCAGTTACCTTCG